TATCTAGAATGGTGGTACCCAGACTCACAGCCAGATACTGTGCAGGAAGAAGAGCTTCAGTAGTCTCATGATTACTATCTCCATAAATCAGACGACAACAATACGTGCATGCACCAAGAACCTCTACAACGCCAACATATCAGATTCCAGACATTTCTTCGGATACTCATCCAGATACATCTCCTCGACAAATCCCTGCTGACTGGATTCAATCAATGGGTTGTCTCGACTTTTAGGATGAAGACTCGTGGCACGTTACCAATTTGTCAGACTATTAACGACCTGCGTGTGCTAAAATAAATAATGGTGTCCTTTATGTAAAATAGGGATGGACTAAATGGTAATTTGCCATCTCAATGTAATATCTCCCGTATCCTTTGTAAAAAGTCAAGAATTGTAGGCTACTTAATGTAAAAAAAAAAAAAAACCAAAGTAAAAAAGGTTAGTCTTGTATTTAATGACTCATTTATGAGTCCTTGTATCCCTTGTATCTATAAATAAGACATTTTACCTTCTCGGGGAGGAGGAGGAACTTTGTAAAACTTTGGTTTATTTCTCTCACTTTTCTCTCCTATTTTTTCTCTACACTTTCATACTTTCTCTACACATCTTTACCATAATTCTTCTATATTTCTTTCATATTTCTAACTTTCCCTCAACCTCAAGGGTGTTGTAATACTCTGATAATGTTATAGATAGCAAAAGATCCCAATATGCTTTTAATTTATGTTCTTTAATATGTTTAATATTTATGTTTTCTTTATGTTATTGTTCTTCATTTCTGTATATGTTCTTCGTTTATATTCATGTTTTCTATTTATGTTGTTGTTTAATATTCACTAGTCCTTTTAGATTATGTTAGAAACCGTGTGGGTGTACATGTGTGTAGGATAAAAGGAGGGTCTTGACCATGATTTCGACCGATCGTTGTGATGATTGGTTTTGCTTAGGTCGGCTATCATAGTTTCCCATATTCATAGACTCCATGAGTTTCTGATAACATCTCTAAGGTCTAGTAACCCGTGTGATATCTATTTAGGTGTTTCTGAATCCGAAGACTAGCTGCCTATAAAGGTCCGTCACTGTACTTTCCATATGACTGTCTCCTTCCAATCAAAGATGTTCAGACCATAGAGCGGCAGGCTGACAAATTCCTAGTCTTGACGGAGTTAAGCTGCCTGCGGGGAATTTAATACCACTTTCTAAATCATTCAAGTTGTCCCTTGAAACTTGAATATACAACCGTAGAAAATAATTTGAATGTTAATCCAATTAATCCTGTCAGTCATCACTTTTTGTAAAGAATTAAAAGGAGTCGGCTGGTTTGGTTCCAAATTCCAAGAACCGGTCCATTTTGATTTCAAATTCAAGGAATTGGGCGGTTCTGATCCGGTTCCCTCTAATTTTGGTATCACACAAACATGTAATTACGTACCATGAGCTCAATTAAACCCATTCAACTTTAAAAAAAAAAGTCTTTTTATTTTATAGAATTTATAATTTTGACCGTACTTAAATTCATGTTGACTCTACAAAAATGAATTATTAATTAATATTTGTAACTTTTTTCTCTTCTTCATTTCCTCTGATTTTCTCTTATATTATCTTTTTCTTTTGGTTGAATATTTAAAAAAATGCTACTCTTTTGGATTACAAGGTAAGATGATGCTCAATTTTTTTTTTTTTTTTACTTAAAATTCTTTTCTTTTAGCTTTCTTAATTGATGAAACATCATGAGCTATAAGTTGTTGTTGAATTTAATAAATGGGTTTGAAATTGGAAGATTAACTTACTAAATTTTGATGTGAGTTTTGATTTAATCTTGTTTATGTTGAAGTATGGGTTAATTAGTTGTTATTTGAAGTCAGGTTTGATAAATTTTAGTTAATTATTTGATTTAAAGAATTGATGAAACCATAAATTGTAAAGATTTAGGGATTGAGTTTAATTTTGATATATTGATAAATTGTTTGATATTTAGAGTTGAATTTGATAAGTTTTTATATGTTTATAAGTTAAATTTTATTGGGTTAATATAAATTGTTTGAAAAATCTAAATTATAAGATTTGAAGCTTCAGTTTATAGTTGATACTTTGACCCCTTGATTAAAAATTCTGGCTATGTCCCTAATACCCAACCCGCTCACCCCTAGTTGTGGTTAGCAAAGACGTGACTTAGACCATCTCCAACCCATTGCACCAATTTGGTGCAAAATTGCACCAAATTGGTGCAAAATTTGGTGCAAAACACTATTCCATCTCCAACCCACAACACCAAATATTGCACTAAAAAGAATATTCCTTAAAATATTCTTTAAAATATTCTTTTTTTTCTTTTATTGTAATAATCAACCATTAATCTATTTCACTCATTATTTTTGTATATATTAATTAAATATTGGGAATGATATTTTTATTAAATAATTATTATTTTGAAAATTATACTAATTTAATAGAATTAAGCATTTATTTNTATTTAGTTAATTTTGAATGATTTAAAGATTTGATGAAACCATAAATGATAAAGATTTGGAGATTTGGTTTAATTTTAATATATTGATGAATTGCTTGATATTTAGAGTTGAATTTGATAAGTTTTTGTGGGTTTATAAGTTGAATTTTATTGGGTTAGTATAAATTGTTTGAAAAATCTAAATTATAAGATTTGAAGCTTCGGTTTATAGTTGATACTTTGACTCTATTGATTAAAAATTCTAGCTACGTCTCTAATACCCGACCCGTTCACCCCTAGTCGTTGTTAGCAAAGACGTGACTTATGCGTGCACAAAGCAAAACTGTATGCAAACTAAAAGCTATGTTCCAACCAGAGAGTCGAAAGCAACTATAATAGAGAATAATTTACATGTTGTATTTGCCTTAAATGATATGTTACTACTAATTAAACTTGTTGATTAAGAAAAAAAAGGTGATATAAATGCAATTTTACGGATATTTTCCTAAATTGAAATTGAAATTAATTTTGTTTTTCTTTTTGATAATACTGTAATAAACTAACTCATTTTTCATTTCTATATATATATATTAAATACCGAACTCATTGCACAAGTTTCTGACATTAGCAAAATCTATATATATATTTCTTATAAATATTTCATATCATTTCTTTGTTTATTTTGTTTAACGTTTTTAATATAATTTCTATATATATTTCTTATAAATATATATTCTGGGCTGTGTTCTGGGCAGGAGACTTTACTATTTTAGGCTGCTACAATCATTGTTTTGGGATTTGGGTTCCATTGTTTCTGGGCTATAGTTTCATTGTTTTGGGCAGGTGTTTGAGGCAAAAATCTTCACTTCTTCGGAGTTTTTGGGCTACTGTTTCTCTATTTTTAAGGCTGCTTTAACCAGTCTTTGGGGGTTGATGTTTTACTGTTTCTTGGTCGCTTGGCCATTATTTCATGTTTTTGGGGCTGTTTAGCAAAAAATTTGGGCTTCTTTCTATTTTGGGCTGTGATCACTAGTGTTTTTAGGCTGCTGTTTTACTGTTTCTGGGCTACTGTTTCATTGTTTTGGGCGAAAATCTTCACTACTTCACTAATTTTCGGCTGCTTTCACTACTCATTTATGGCTTCTTCGGCTCTTTGGGGATATGCTGTTTTACTGTTTTTGGGCTCTTGGAGCATTGATTCTTAAACATGTCAAAAAAAAATTCGATCACTGGTTTTCAACAACCGACCACCCATTCTGGCCACAATACTAGTTAAAACATCTAAGAGTGCGTTTGTTTTAGTATTTTTGAAAAAGTAAGAGTTGAAGGGTAGTAACGAGGTAGGATTTAAAAATGAACAAAATCGCTCCCCTAGTTTTGTTAATTTACTAAATACCCCTGTAATAAAAACATTAAAAATTATAAAAACACCCCCATCCACCTATTAAAAGCCGGCAGCTGGCCACCATCTTCAGAGGATGGCCGGAGTCACCGTATCAGAACATGACCAATTGGATCTAGCCGGTTATGCACCGAGATAGCCTTTTCTAGCCAGATCCAGTCGTGCACCGAGATGGCCTTTTCTAGCCAGATTCATCATGGATCTAGCCAAAAAAGGCCAGATCTAACCATTAACGACCTGATCTGGCCGCACTTGGTCGTCAACGATGACCAAAGATATGGTCGTCGTTGACGACTAGCTACGAACAAAGATCTGGCCATCAACGGCTAGATCTGTGGTCATAGATTTGACATTTTCCAACCAGATCCATGATGGATTTGGTCGAAAAAAGCTATATCGACGCACTACCGGCCATATCTAACCAGTAGTGCGCCATTATATCAAATTCTGGCCCCCTTTCGATGGTGGTGATCAGAATCTGGAAAATGTGGGTGGGTGGACGTGTTTTTGTTAATTTCTAAACTTTTTTGGGGGGTATTTAGTTAAATTAACAAACTTATGGAGTTTAAAATAATTGAATATAATATAATAGTATTTTCAGAATAGGGATACAAATGTGTATTTTGGAAATGATAGAAATATAATAGGGCAAAAATAGGGAAAAAAAATGCACCCTAATTTTTTTTTTAATTTATTAAACGATAATATTTAATAAAAGGCCTTAAAAATGAAGGATCACCAATATATGGTTTGATTTTAGTTAATAGAAGAGAGAATTTCTCAAACAAATCTTCTTTGTGGGTTTATCCTTTAGTTATCTTATTAACGATAAAATTATATTAAAAACATTAAACAAAATAAAAGAACTGCATCTTTCGATTTACTAATAGCCACCTCCATCGCCCTTCTCATGACCACAAGTTCCCCATTCAAACAAGATGAGTCATCGATATTAATATTTGATATTTAATTGGACTTATATTGATTTTTTATTCCCAACATGTTATATAGTCATATTGTACTATAATGTATGAAAAATTGATAACGAACCTGTCAATTACAATTTAACCTCCACTACCTGCAACAATAATTACTTAAAAGGAAAAAAATTATTGAACCGAAAAACTTAATAAATATAAACAGGTTTCGATGATACAATACAATAGACTTTCAAGGTCAAACAAATCTGAACATGGGTTTACTTGGTTTAAACAAAAACCTAGAATGATATGTTGAACAAAATATATCTCCTAGAAGAGGATACTGCAATAGAACATATAGAGTGGCTGGTACAGACGTAACTACGGTGGTAAGCATCGTGACACAATTTAATCTATCATGATAAGCTAATAAAAGAGTTGTGCTAAAAGCTACCATCATGGTGATTATGGATACAAATAGTGTAGAGAGTCCAACCATCAATTTAAATGGTAAAGACTCCAAAAAATCATCTTCTGTATATCGCGATGTAAGGATCGACAAAAACATCAGGATAGAGATAGAAGACGAGGATAATGCGATTGCATCTGATATGACAAAAACCTGAAACCATGTCTCTTTCAGATGAATAGGTAATCCTTTACTACTATCGTTACCGCCTGGTACACTAAAAACTGCTGCAAAAATTATAGTGGTAATGATTGTTGCAACAAGCATACATGAGTTAGCGGTATGCTTCATCCATTGTTCTCCGCTTTTCAACAAAACCAAAACAGTTCCCTTACATTTTTCATTGACCCATTTACTTTATTATGGACTATTCTTACCTTCCCCCAGGCCCGTTTATTATGTATTTTACTTGTGTTTCATTTAAATGGGCAAACGATGTTTTTCCTTAATGTTGCTATACAAAAAGTACAATTGATGTGGCTAAATACTAGGGGTGTTCAAAAGAACCGGTTGGAACCAGAACCAGCGGGTACCCTGGGTTTGGTTCCGGTTCCTACCTAGAACCAGTCGTCAATGGGTAGGTTCCGGTTCCAAATTTTTGGAACCGTTACTGTGCGGTTCTGGTTCCGGTTCCTATAATTAGGAACCGGAACCGGAACCTGAACCAGGAACCAGGAACCGAGACTAATATAAAATAAAATTAAAGATTAGGGGGGTTAATAAAAACTTTTGTACAAAAAGTAATGTGAATACATTTATATTTATATTTCATAACATTTAAAGTAAGCTAGTTTGACTTTTGAGAATCTACCTTTACAAAGTAATGGAGTTTATAATTTTGAATTTATAATTTATAATTTAATTTTTGTTAATAAATGCCAGGTGGGGGGGTATTTGTAAGTTTTTAAGGGTTTTTTTGCCAAACTTTTGGGGGGTCATGTAATTTTACAGGGTACCCAGAACCGGAACTAGAACCGTTGTTACAGGTTCTGGTTCTGGGTATCTCGGAACTGGAACCGTCGGTTCCGGTTCTGGTTCCAAATTTCAAGGAACCGTCGGTTCCGGTTCCGGTTTCGGTTCCTTCAAAAAGTGTAGGGTACCCGGAACCGAACACTCCTACTAAATACCCAATATCTCTCTGCCATGCGTATGTCACTGATTCTTTTTAGGCAAGTGTAGTCCTCATCAAGAATATCTCTGCGGCGCACACGTGCATACATGTACATGTTGATAGATATTTTTTTGTGTGTGTTAGTTGATGTGCATGACTTTTTCTTTACTACTCTCCAACCGGGAAGCGTTGAATGTGGGTTTTAATGAGATACATGAGAGATATAATTGACAATGGGTCGGCAGTGCTGAAAAACAATGTTTTACTATCCATTTGGATTTCAATAAGTGTTAATGTTGGTTTATTATATAATGATTAAGGGGTTTTGAGAATATCATACATGAATGTTGAAACACATATTTATAGCATGTCCTTAGCATGGCTAGGAAGTATGCTTAGACTTGTAGTCGAGAAAATAATTATTGTCATGTGTTTGTAAGGATAATGAATCAAATTCAATCTAAATGTTATGCTCATAGTACAATGTAATTTATGCATTGCAAATGGGTGGCATGTTGTTTTTTGATGAAGCTGATGCGTCATGTTGATCTTCTATTATGTGTTTTAATCATATACGTTCTATAGCTGTATATATACTGAATTTATCTACTTTTAATCTTTTATAGTTCATGGGGAAAAAAATATACAAAGATGCAGGTCGATGAAGTTAGAGGAGAATGGGCGATGTATGTATTAAACTTTTTCAATTATTGATGTTTTAGTGATGTTAAAGTGTCAATGAGGCAAAAAATATAAATCAAACTTTTAATAACTGTGCACTAATGCCATGGGTCTTTTATTCCTCCTGTATATATACTATTGTTCAATTTCGTTTACTAAATTAATTGAAAGATTGTTGGATGTCTAAATTTATTGTTGAATTGTGATAATTGTTGATTGAAGAATATTATGAATAATTTCATTGCACTATTCCATAATTTAATTAGTAATAATCAGGAAAATAAACTAATTACAAAATAAAAATATTCAAAAAAAGTTCTTGACAATTTTAAGACCGTCAAGGATGAAAAATTATTACTAATAAAATTTGATTATTATTATTATTTTTTGTTAAAAACTCTTGACAGTAGATTTGGTTAAAATTAAGTCAAATCTTTGACGGGTTTATAACTGTCGAGATTCTTGACAGTTCGAAAACTGTTAAGACTCTTTCTTGATAGGGCTTCAATGATAGTTCAAAAATTGTTGAGGAATCCCTTTGTAATAGTGAATTTTGGATAAAATGAAATATAAATAGAAATCAAACAGTTTTTAAGGGTTTAATGATTAATAATTGTTTGCGCCAATATGTGATTGCTCAAAATTAAGATGATTTTATTCCCTTTGATCACAAAAAGGTACTATGAATAAGACTTTGATAAGTTTTTTACAAAATGGGAGCATAAAAATGAGATAACGATGATAGTTTGTAGTCTGGGTGCAGCAGGTTTAGGCTTCTCCCCTTCAATTTGGTATCCCTTTTATAATGGTTTGTGGTTATTGGTTTCTAGTGGACCAGTACAATGTTAATTCCTCACGTGATAGCTTAAGTTTTTTTTTGGTGGGATGGCAAACGGTAGATTCAAACATTCAATTAGATAAATGAAAAATGAAAAATGAAAATAAAATCTAACTTTCATGTCGGGGCCCATTGGACTAATACCCATTTGGACCATCTTATATTCTCTTATGGGCTACTGTTTTATGAAAAATTATATTTTTGAAATTACAAATATAAAACTTTGAAGTAAAAGTATGGAAGAAAAAAATAATAATTTTTTTACTACAATTATATCCCTACTTAAAATTGAAGATGGGGCAACAAATCAGTTCCCTTACATTTTTCATTGACCCATTTACTTTATTATGGACTATTTCTTACCTTCCCCCAGGCCCGTTTATTATGTATTCTTACTTGTGTTTCATTTAAATGGGCAAATCGATTTTTATTCCTAACATGTTATATAATCATATTGTACTATTATGTATCGAAAAAACCTCTCAGTTACAATTTCACCACCACTGCCTGCAATACTTTAAGGAAAAAAATACTGCATAAAAAAACTTAATTAATATAAATAGGTTCTAATGATACAATACAATAAACTTTCAAGTTCAAGCAAATCAGAGCATGGGATCACTTGGTTTAAACAAAAACCTAGAATGGTATGTTGAACAAAATATATCTCCAAAAATAGGATATTGCAACAGAACATATAGAGTGGTTGGTACAAATGCAACTACACTAGTAAGCATGGTGACACAATTTATGCTATCATGATAAGCTAATAAAAGGGTTGCGCTAAAAGCTACCATCATGCTGATTATGGATACAAAGAGTGTAGAGAATCCAACCATCAATTTAAATGGTAATGACTTGAGAAAATCGTCTTCCGTATACCGCGATGTAAGGATTGACAAAAATATCAAGATTGAGATAGAAGAAAAGGACAAAGCGATTGCATCTGATATGACAAAAACCTGAAACCATGTCTCTTTCAGATGAATAGGTAATCCTTTACTATTATCGTTTCCACCTGGTACACTAAAAACCGCTTCGAAAATTACAGTGGTAATGATTGTTGCAACAAGCATACATGATTTAGCAGTATCCTTCATCCATTTTTCTCCTTTTTTCAATAACTCTTTGTGCTCCTCAGTAAATAACTCTTTAGGTGTTTGACCATTCGAGTTTTTCTTTCCTCGGAAGGAAGGTTTCACTATTTTTTCTATCTCCTATAGATATCAAACATGTTATATTTCGAAATATGGCAATTGAAATTAGGACGATAACTGAATTCAGAAAATTTAATTACCTTAAACCATAATAATTCTCGCTGCATTTGTAGAGCTGCTCCTGATACGACACCAATTCGACTTGGATGTGGTAATTTTGCAGCCAAATGCAACATATTGTTCTGTTGATCCTTATCTTCACAAGTCATGAACAAATCCTTAGTTAAACCTATCTCATATATTAGATTGAACACATCGGCATGACGGTGTAAAACTGCTATGTGAAATATACTGTAATCATTTTCATCAAAATGATATATCACATCAGGATAACGGTAAATGAGCTCAGCCAAAAATTGGGAATTTCCAAATTTAGCTGCCTCAAACACAATTCTTGAAGGCGTTTGGGTTAGGTTCGCTAGCTCCAAGTCATCTTGTTTTAATGTTTCTTCCCACAGGCATTTGACTAATTCAAGAGCTTGAGTTGATTGGAAATCCTTGTTGTGATTCAACTTCATTAATCCTAGGACTAAGAATCAGAGCAGTAAATTTAGTACTATCTAATTAAATGGTTGAGTAAAATCACATATACGATAAAATTAAGTTAAGTGTTGGAGAAACTAACATGAGTTGATAAGCCTCCTGAATGAACCTTGATTTTTGTTGGGAAATATTGAAGGTTTTCGAGCCAAATCATGTAAGGCAGTCTCACAATTTCGATCACGAGCCAAAGCTAAATCTGGACCATCCTTTAGCATTTTTAATGCCAGATCTGAGCAATTCAATAAGTTAATTGTAAGCAAAAATTTTGAAAGTATGTTAATATTTAGCCAGCTTCCTTAAATTTTTCTAAAATTTCTTTACTATTTTAATTTTTTTTTATAACTTTTCTATGATTTTGAGAGTTTTTTTGAAGTTTCATACAGCTTTTATATTTGTTTAAATGTTTTTGAAATTTCTTTAAACTTTCCTATACTCTATGTACTATTTTAATTTTTTTGAATTTTTTATTAATTGATTTTCAATTATGTATTTTTTTTTTAGTTTGAAATTCTATGTTTGCAGAAAATTTGTTTTTGAAAATTATATAGATAAAGGTCTAATTTACTGTAATGGGTATTAAAGTTATAAGTAAAACTACCAAGGGGGCATAAATGTAATGTTTGAAAAAAGTGGTATCAGTTGGTAAATTTCAAGTCATAGGGGTGTACATGGTACTAATTCTGCTGAAAAGTTATATATTATTATTTTAAAAAATTCCTAAAGTGGTAGGGGAGTTGGCTTTTTGACTTTTTGAGATAAGAAAACATGTCAAGAAATATGACTACATTAGTATAAGTTATTATTTGGAATCATAAAAGAGTGGATGTGTTTGTTTCTTTATTTCTACCCTAATTTATCCAAAATATATATTTATTTTCCTATTCTAAAAATCCAATTCTATTTTATCCAACTATTTTTAAACCTCTTAGGTTTGTTGATTCAACTAAACAAAAAAAAAAAGTTTAGAAATTGACAAAACACCCCCATCCACCCACATTTGTCAGATTTCGGCCACCATCATTGGAATGTGGCTGGAATCTGGTGTAATAACGCACTACCTGTTGGATCTGGCGGCCGATAGTGCATCAATCTAGCATTTTCTAGCCAGATCCACCTTGGATCTAACCGGAAAATGCTAGATCTATGGCTGAAGATATGGTCATCGGTGGCCAAATCTTTGGCCGTAGCTGGTCGTCAATGACGACCATATCTTTGGCCGTCGTTGACCACCATATCTTTGGCTGTTGTTGACTACCAAACATAGTTAGATCTGGCCGTTAATGGTCAGATCTGGCATTTTCCGGCTAGATCCACTATGGATCTAGCCGAAAAATGCCATATCAACACATGACCAGTCAGATCCAACCGGTTGTGCGCTATTACAGTGACTGTCGGCCAGCCTCCAGTGGTGGTGGTCGGTTGCTGGCATTTAATAAGTGGTTGTGGGTGTTTTTGTTAATTTTCAATGTTTTATTGTAAGGGTGTTTTATAATTTTCAAATCCTACCCCGTAATAACCAACCAACTCAACTTTTTCAAAAATCATATCCAAAATAATAAAACAAACACACCAATATTATCATATGTTGCACTACCATGGAAATAAAGTGATATTACAAGAGATGACACATTATTTAAAATATGAATATAGGATAAGTTTTAGGATGAATACCATAATATGTCTTAAACTTATTATACATTACAATTTAATCCAAAATTTGTTATTTCCATTTCCATATATATATATTAAGAGTTGATATGTATAATATTAATTTTTTAAGGGTTGTTTTTAACATGTGCACTAAAGACACATTAGACAACATTTGTCTTTTTTTAAAAAAAAAAAAAAAAAGTTAATGTAATGAATTGGAAGTAGTCTTACCATATAAGCCATTGGTGAGACAAGTGAAAAATAGAGCAACTTTGTCGTCCCAATTGAAAACATGTTGCGCTTGAGATAATTCATCATATAAAAAAGATGACATCTCCCCTTGTGCTAACAGAGCAGCCAAAAACACAGGCATCATATTTTCACTACCTCGGATTGTCAAAAGACTGGGATTCTTCTTCAACATAATCCTAGCAATTTCAGTAGCTCCAGCTGCAGCGGCACAACAGAAGGCCGTGCTTCCATTTTGGTCTGACAGAGTCAGGTCTTCCGGTTGCATCGACTTTATCAGCTCCTCTACAAAGCGAGTTTGTTTGGCTCCTGCCGCAATATGAAGAACAGTTTCTTGTCCCTTTGTGATACTGGCACGTAACATCGTTGGATCTTTGTCTAACAATTTTTTGGCAGTTGTCCAGTCACCTTTTAATGCAGCCTTATAAAGAGGCACACAGTTGTTGAGATAAAGGTTTGAATTTTCTCCTGCATGTGTAAATTCAATAGAAGAAAACAATTTATACAGTGTTTGACATATAAACATGCATGCAAACTTAAAGAGTGGAGATTTGTGCTTAGGTTTAAATAAAACATTCTTCGTAGAAAGAGGAAGAGAAATATTTATTATTTTAATGGACTCATGTATTCCTTTCAGCAAACCTCGAGGACGAGTATACTATTATCCCTCAAAGAATATGCGAAAGAGCAAGTGAAAGAGAGTGAGCTCACTGGAAAGGAGATGAACGGAAGGCTGCCTCTGTTCATGAGTTGATTCAGTTGAAGTCGCGTTTGGTGTTAGACGACCAATAACTATTTGATGATCTCCCATTTCTCTTTAGAAAGAATATCTTTGAAGAGTTGGTTAATCAAGTCCAGAAGACTAGGGTGGTTAATAAATAGCAAGCTAAGTCTTCGTCAAATAAAAATAGATTATCTTTTTTGGAAATTAATGATTCGTTATTTGACTCATCACCCAACAGAATTTAGTGCCATCTGAAGCAGTGGCCAAGTGTAGTAATTGCCTACAGCTCAACTTTAGAATAAGGCCTCATCACTATTCGTGACCAATGGCCTCATAGATATTACCATCATCACTTAGTGAAAATACTATTATTATTATTGTATTGCCATTATTATATAGCTGCCAACTTTGAAGTGGAGCATACTTAAGGTTTAACCACTCATTATGATGAGAACATAAGGAAACCGAATCTTTAACTGATTTACAAGAGTTTTTATTTATTGCAGAAGATCTCACGCAATTTTTATTTTTATTTTTTTTTTTTTTTTTTTTGGGATTTTAGGAATCATAAATAAAGAAAATAAGTAAATCTGTATTGCTACGAATAAATATAAGGAATCAAAGAAAATATATAAATAATAGAATATCAAAAAGTTTGTAATGATGATTATATATATATAATATATATATATATATATATATATATATAATATATATTATATATAACGCCATCACCTTGGTCACCATAAGAACTCGGGAGTATCAGGTTGAATCATAATATCAGAATAATTATCTAAAAAATAGCCCTTGTAACGCATTGTGCGATGTGGAATATTATATGTGGAATTAGCCTAGTGGTATCAATAAGATATTTTAATTTTGTTTTTTACTTCATATGTTGGATAATGGTCCAAAAGTTATAAATTTTTTTTTTTTTTTTTTAATTTCTTCGGGATGTTGATACCATCTTTATTGTTCTAGGCTACTATTTTGGGCCACTCTGTCTACTTTACTTGCATACATATTGGGAAGTGATTTTAGCCCTTACTATTTTCCTTTTTAACCCTCTTCTTCTACTTTAGGTAGAGTATAACTATAATAAAAAGTTTTATTCTTCTTCTTCCATACTTTAATTCCAAGCTTTATAGTTTCGGTTACTGCAAATTAAATAAAATTAGGTTATAGAATTCATCATTTCACTAGTAATAATGAAGCTCAGGGTAATTATCAAAATTACTTAATATATAATAATATATATATATATATATATATTGGGTTCTTTTCTATGTTTTATATTTGGGAAAGCTATTGAGAATTGTATTGTTTAAATAAAAAAAAATTGATCGTATAACCAAGAAATTGCTAGATTTGGATCAAACAAGACATTTATGTTAATTTTTGGAGTGTTTTTTAATTAATTGCGTGTACTGGGGACCTGTAACTGTTCCTCTTTTAAAGTACGTAAATTTTTTTTGATCAAAGACAACTACTGGGGATAACTTCTTAACTGTTGAGAAACTGCTTGGCAGTTAATATATAGTGGGTTCTTTTGTAGGTTTTATATTTGGGAAAGCTATTGAGAATTATATTGTTTAAATAAAAAAAAAATTGATCGTGTAACCAAGAAATTGCTAGATTTGGATCAAACAAGGTCTTTATGTTAATTTTTGGAGTGTTTTTTAATTAATTGCGTGTACTGGGGACTTGTAACTATTCCTCTTTTAAAGTACGTAAATATTTTTTGATCAAAGACAACTATTGGGGATAACTGCTTAACTATTGAGAAGTTAAATATTATATAAAGCAAAGGACCAAATAGTGATTAATGAATTTTAATTAATTAAAATTCTAATATTCTCCCACTTTGTCCAAACTTTTATTACCAAATCCACAACATACTAGTTTTATATCTTTTATGTTTAATTAGAAAAATAGAATTGCATGAATCATAGCAGTAAGTCCATTTTAAACAAGTTTTATCTTTCATGTATCACTATGCAATTTTTCTCTTTCTAAACAAATTTTTAAATGTGAAATATTACTTTATGAACAAACCTCAAATGTTTGTTTCAAACCTCCAGAATGTTTGTTTTTCTCCAACCAAAATGTATACAACTTAAAAGAAAAAAACAAACTAAATTACAAAGTTTCAGTTAATGAAAGTATTACCTCTCGTGGTAATAAAGCTTCAGAATGTTGTGGAGAGGACCTTTGGTGTTTTGAAAAAAAGGTTCCGCATTCTTGATGGCATGAATAATGACCTGTTGAAGAAGTAAGCTAAAATTGCTATGACATGTTGTGTAATTTATAATTTTATCAAAAAGTTAGATATGAATGACCCTATCTTCCAAGAGTTTAATGCCGATGGAGTTTATGAGGAAGGGAATGGGGCAGGTTCGAATCAAGCGACTCAACATAATACAGACGACATGGGAACTCTAAGGGATAGCATAACTACTGCTATGTGGGCAAAACGTGAATCCATCTCGTAATTGTTAACTGAATATAGGTGTACGAAGGATAATAAGGGATGATTATTAGTAGCTTCGTATTATTAATTTAGATATGTATTAATGTCGTGTTTTTAAATGATATATTAGTAGTTGAAATTATTATAGAGAATTTGTTTTTAAATCAATGATAAAAAAATTACCAAACAACTAATTAATATTATTTAAATGTAAATTGAAAAGTTCAATAAATCAAATAATAAAAAGTTTTAATAAAATGAATCAAAAATATTCTATCTTAAAATCATTTTTGAAAAAATATACCAAATAATTATTTAGCAATTTATTTAACTCTAATATAATATTCAAATAATATACCAAATACATATTCAAATTCAAATCCTATTCTATTAAATACGACTCAACTCAATTTTTTTTTTAAAAATTATTCTCAAAAGTGCCAAAATAGTAAATCAAAAGAACTGAAATTATCCGTGAAAGAATATGCAAAAGAGCAAGTGAAAGAGAGTGAGTCAGTGAGCTCACTATAAAGGAGATCAAGGGAAGGCTGCCTCTGTTCATGAGTTGATTCAGTTGAAGTCACGTTTGGTGTTAAACGATCAATAACTATTTGATGATCTCCCATTTTACTCTTTTGAAAGATTACCTTTGAAGAGTTGGTTAATCAAGTCCAGAAGACTATAAATAGTAAGCTAAGTCTTTCGTCAAATAAAAATAGAATATCTTTTTGGAAATTAATGATACCTTATTTGACTCATCGCTCAACAGAATTTAGTGCCAGCTGGAGCAGTAGCCAAGTGTAATAATTGCCCACAGCTCAACTTTAGAATAAGGCCCACCAGTCATCACTATCTGAGAGACTGTGACCAATGGCCTCGTCCATATTACCATCATCACTCATACCATTTATTATTATACTAATGTTACGATTATCGGATGTGTATTAAATTTATATAATAAATTAACGGTTAAAATTTTATCACGTCATTTAATATATAAAGTCGGTATAAACTTTTCGATAACTCTATCATTTTTTTTATTGTTATTATATTGCTGCTAACTTTGAAGTGGAGCATACTTAGGGTTTAACTACTCATTATGATGAGAACAAAAGGGAACCAAATCTTTAACTTCTGGCTTACACAATTTTTTTTTTTTTTTTAAAAAATGAAACAAATAAAGAAAATAAGTAAATCTGTATTACATACGAATAAATATAAGGAATCAAAGAAAAATATATAAATAAATAGAATATTCAAAAGGTTTGTAATGATGAACATATATATATATATATAAAGTTTTAATACTTACCAGAGTTCTTAAAACTTAAGCGGAATGCATTGTTAAGTTAATTTTAGTGTTCATTCTTTATTATTAAAAAATAACCAACCATGAAACAAAATAAAGAACATCAGGAGTTTTTATATGGTTTGACAAAATGCCCATATTCATGAGACCAAGTTCAGATGAAGCCAATCTATTACAGTAAACATTTATAGTTTAATTACGAAACCAAAGTTAAACATCAATTACAAGAACACTTCCTGTTTTGCAATGCTTCAAACTCTATCATTTGGTCGAACTTCAAACTATTACAGTAAGCTCTATGTTCACGAAACTACTTGGTTAGCCTTGAGCTCCTCTTAAGGTATAGCACTGAAGATGCACTTCAACTCTAAAAACTTGAAATCACATCAAGTATCACCAATGGAAACTCACGTTCTAGCCATGAACAAATAAACAAAGTTTATTCAAGGTATTTATAAACCTATCTAAGACATATGAAACCTGATTCAAAACACAAAAAACATAAAGGAATTTTTAGAGTAATATTAGAGGTCTATTCAGGCTTGAGAAGAATTGCATTGGAGAAGACTAATATATAGAAAACTTGGGCTCCAATGTAAGGGGACAGATAACCAAAAAGATATTTTATGCTTTTAACTTTATGAAAAAATTTATTCTAGTTTTCTTGGGACCACCTATCAAAGAGAATAAACTTTTCAGCTCATTGTGTAACAATTTGACGTGTGTTTTGAACCACAATAATATCTGATAAGAGAATAATGACAACTCATTAGAATTTAGAAATATAATACGTGTTAATTAAAATATCTGCTAGATGTATTGTGATCATTCTGACTCAAAGGTGCTCACACGATATAATAGATAAACAACTCAATTGAAGGTGGTCACACTAGAAATTTAAACAAAATGATTGTGCTAAAGACAAAGTGAAATGTTCCTACCATGACTAGTATTACCACTCTAGA